GATGGATGGATGGATGGATGGACAGATGGATAGATGGATAGATGGATAGATGGATAGATAGATAGACGGATGAGTGGGTGGATAGAAAGATAGATAGACTAATAGATCGAGTAATACGTAGGTAATAAATAAATAAATGAAAAGATGAGTGAATAAATTAAGTGCACAAATAAATAAATAAATAAATAAATAAATTAATTAATTAATTAAGTACATAAATAAATAAATAAGTAAATGGATAAAAAGTTAAATTAAAAATAAATGTGTATAATCAAGTTTGGCTCATAATCCTTGAATAAGTTCTAAAAAGTGATTGAGCAAAGTTTTTAAGCAATAATTTCTTTCGCTGCTTATTAAATGACTGATGTTTGTTCTATTTAAGCATTGGATATAACAAGATATCATTTTCAAATTTATCCATCACGGCGGTATTTGCCATTATTCGCATTTGTTTGCGATGATTTTTTGCTATGAATAATAATTTGGAAATTGAAATTCAAAACAGTAATCAAACTTAAAGTCTATTGTTTTTACTTATGAATAAATTTTCTTATAGAGTGAAAATAAAAGCTTAACTGTGACACATTTGTATAATAGCTGTGAGAATTATGTTGACTTTTTGTTTATGTAAGACAAGGCAAGGGATAGATAGATAGATAGATAGATAGATAGATAGATAGATAGATTAATGCAGAAGAGCGTGACTGAGTGATGAAAAGGGTATAAAGCATATAAAGAATAAGCAAGATAGGTCAGAGAAATGGGCTAGGCTAGACCTGACCAGACCAGATTAGACTAGACTACGCTTAATTTAGTCTGATATCATTGTAGACTGCAATAGCAGCAGGTGGAAATAATGTACTATATGTGTGCCATATTTTTAATTAATTTCAGTATTACTGTAAAGCATTTCTTGATCAAATACAATATACTGCTAATATTTTTGATTTTTGATTCACAATATAAATTGAAAATGAATAAATCAGCTAGCATTGAGCTGATTGATCTACTTGATTGATCTGATCTGTGTTCTTGTGCTTAAAATGAAATCAACAAAATTGAGCTAAAAGTAATATGAACTTAAAGTAGACTAAAATGAAATGAAATGCAATGCAGTGTGTAGTGAAATGGAATGCAATGTGCAATGGACAACGGCGAAATATTTCAGCAAAACTTTCTTGTCGTTTTTCATAGCTAACACAAGAAGATAAAACAGAATGTAAAATATACTTTGAGATATAATTCACAAGAAAATTTGTAGCTGTCAGAAGGCGAAGTAAAGGCGAATCAATGCAATGATAGCCAGCACGGATTTGTTTGAATTAGCAACAGCTATCGAGTTAGTTAGCTAGTCAGCTAGTACAATCTAGCTAGACTGCTCTACTTCAGCACTTGCTAGAAAACTCTTCTCTTTAAGCTTTATGCATACCACTTGCCTCTTTTCCATCTCTGGCCATATTTTTCATTACTAGCATAATTTACACTATTAATACACTTTTTTTGAATAATAATAATAATAATAATAATAATAAAGTATATTATTGTTACTATTATTATTTACAATCATCATAGTAATAAATTAATTAATAATAAGTAATAATAATAAAGAATTATTAAAAAACTTATTAATAACTTGCTCTCTCTGTTTTCACTCATGAAAATTCTTGAAAATTTTATTTTCACTTATATCATATCATAAATTTAGCATGTTCTTTCCAATAATTTTATCATACAGAAAAGAATAAAATAAGTAAACATAGAAACGTTAAGAGGTTAAACTTTGGTGTCTAAATAATTAAAAATTAATTGAAGATAAAGTTTCATCTTCAGTAAGTACTTACTCAGTCAACTTTAAGTCGACAAGCGTAATGTATCTAGCTAACTATTGCTCTACAGTATTTCATACTCAAAGTTACTTTGCAATTATTTCTCATTTCCCATTACTTTTTTATTTTAATTTATTTCAGTTACGTAAACTAACGTAACTAAAAAATTTGCATCTTGCAAATAACCATTCCTAATCCTTCTACAAATGGCTAACTTCCGGTACATACTCTATCAGCATCGGAAATGACAGTAGTATAAGCATTCGTGAAAAATGTTTTTAAAGACAGTAATATCTTTTTACCAGTTATTATTTTTATTTATTTTCATAAAAGCTAATCAAATCAGTTGGCAAGTATGACTGAATTGTCAAGAAACGGATAAATAAGTGCTTAAAGACAGCAAATATTTATTTCCATTCAATCATTTCTACGGTTACTCCCATCAAATTAGCAAAACTTCAGATTTGGCTACTTCCTTCAATAAACTGCTCTCATTTATCAAATCATCTTGCATCTCGGGGGATTCAAATCTTCTACACGTAATTTGCATATTTTATTAATAAAGCGTCATTATGCAGTAATCATTAAACAAGCCTAGCTTTTAACTGCTAATTTAGTGACAAACAATTACAGCAATAAAAAAGCAAACGATGTTCATGGGATATCACTGCCTCATAAAAAAGATAATGTTAAGTCGAAATCGAAATTAATCAAATACTTACATAGCTGCTTGATAATAAATTAAATAACAAAGAATTGTAAAATGAAAAAATTTGCTGTTAAAGTTAGTCTGTGATCGAAAAGTTTAGGATTTGTTTTTGAATCAATAATTCCCTCTTTATTTCTTCCATATCAATAAAATACAATCATGAGCAATAGCTTTTTAACGTGATCGTGAAAACGTGATTTGAGTAAAACAACTCGGAGTAATTACAGAGCGGAACTATAAGCATATTGACAGGATGAAGTTCAAAATTTAGTGCAGAACACAAGAAATGAGAATAATTTATATTTGAATAAATATTTTGAAGCGCTTCAAAAGATCATCTGCTGAGCTTCTTCTTACTTCTTGCTCTACTGCTACTGCGTATAAAAACATTGCGAAGATATGTTTAATAAAATTTTGATAGCTTTCAAGTTATAAACTGAGAGTGAGGCTTGTGAAGAGAGAAGGGAAGTGTGAAGATATAAGTTCAAGCATAATTTAGTGCAGTGAAATGAGGCAAAAGTCACAACGATGTGCTTTTTTACACGAAGAAACGGAAGCAAAGCATGCGTTAATAAGAATCGATACTTTATATGTGCAAATTAAAAAAAAGCGTAAAGTAAAAGTTCAATATTTTAATACATTATTAATACAAATATAAATATATACACATTATTGAACGTGACGGACTGACTGACTGACTGACTGACTTACGTAATATATTACGATCAAAATGACAAAACGCGTTAAATGCAAATAGAAAAATACAGACGTGTGGCACACTTAGGTTAGTAAGTTTGTACAAGCCATTTTCGCCAGAGTAAAGTATACTTTATAATAATGCATTTATGGCTCGAGTTTTCTACTTAGTGCACAAATTTTAGCAATGATCATATGCTCACTGCATAAGGAATTTGAGGAGAGCGTTGCTGTATTAAATGCATTGTTCGTTAGTTTAAATGTTAAAGTAGTAAGTTTAAATTAGGACAGATGGAAAGTGTTTAGCTGTTGATATCAAGCAATAAGTAAAGAGTAATAATGTTAATAATGATAATAATAATAATAATAATAAATAATAATAAATAATAATGATAATAATAATGATAATAAATTGGGGTGAAGTATGCTTGTAAAGAAGGATGCAAGGGTAAATGGTTAGTCTAACTAGCAGTAATGTCGGGATTTGGCATCAAAATTTGAAGAGAGGATGAGATTTTAGTGGTGGTAGATGGAAGGATGCTAAGGTAAGTAAAGTAAGCAGAAACTCTCGAAAAACTTTTTCACTATTAGTAAGAGCAAGTCGAGAGTAAAAATTGAGATCTTGCTTGCTCTGCTTTAACTTGCAAGTAGACAAGAAAAGTTTGAAATTGCTTAGACTAAATCCTCTTCCTTAGCAAATTTATTATTTCTCACTCACTCAGTAATGCAGTAGTCAGCAACTAACTCCACACAAAATTCATTAATTAGCTATTGCTCCTCATTTATTACTTATGTTTTCTCATACTCACACAGTTCAACAATTTGTTTACTTTTGTTAATCTTTTATTATTATTTGTTATTTAGTTAGTAATATTCACTAATCAAAACAATATACAGTATTTATTTACCCAATTAATCACTAATTATCAATTACTTGTACCAAAACTTCTATTATTATTAGTTATGCTATTCTGTACAACACAATTTTCTTGCAGTACTATTACTGGTAATGATGATGGATGGTACTGCCAACACTTAAACGATACTGTATTATTTGCTTTTCATGTTGACTCATTTGCAGTAGTTATAAGTCGAAAAATTAAATTTTCCAACTTGCAACAACAACCTTCAACGCACTAAAATCTACTTCTACATCACTGAAAATTGATGAAAAAGTTCACCGCAAACAGTGAAATAACAGAATGCTGCAATTTTATTGAGCTTTAGAAATACTATTCTACGAGCAATTTCTCCATCATCTAATAACGGCAAAGCCACTATTTAAAGCACTTTTTCAGATTCTTTAAACTGTATACTTCCCAAGCTGGTAGCATAAAATCTTGGAAATGTGTAACACAAAATGCGCAAGGAAGATATTTATTATTAGACAGATGCTGTAACATGCGTATGGCATGCAATGCAACATAAGTGAAGATACCTTCAGAAGACACGCACATTGAACTCATATTTCTAACATATCCAAGGTGTTATGAGATATGCATATAGCCGCAGAGAAATTGGAAATTTTTCCCAGATATATGCGAAAAAGAAAAGAAAACCTTAAATCTTCCTTCTAAAACAAAATGCTTTTATAGACATGAGATAAAAATTTTTTTGTTGAAGACATCATACTTTATTATTGTTTTAATGGAAAATACTATTCAAAAAGATGTCACATGCGGAAAGAAAGTTCTTAAAGTAATGTAAGATTTGTAATGCTATTATCATGCATGAAAACAAAATACCACGTAACAAATACAACACGACTTTAATCAGACGGATAAAATGATACAGTAGTTGTGCTTTCAGCACGTTCATCTAATATTAAAGTAACAGATGCTAGAAAAGCAGGAGTCGAATTTCTCCCTTCCAAGTATTCACGAATTTGCGATGTCCAACGGGTTGCATATTCTGTTTCTAATAAACTAATTGTTTTCCCATAGTCGTAAATCTAAAACAAGCATAAAATTGAATGAATGAGATTAAAAAAGAGTGATGAAACCTTTCTTAATGGACAACGTTCTTTGCATATTGGCTTCTAATTAACAACAACAAAATGAATGTAAGACAAATTACCTTGAAAGTAAAACAATTTCCTGGATCAAAAATGCTTTCAACTTCGACCATATCATCTTCCTTCATTTTTATTTGCAATCCAGAAAGAGCCGTAACAAAAGCACGATATTTTTTAACCAAATCACTTTGTAACTTTAAAGCCTTCTCGTTTTCTTTCTGTGCTTTATTCAGTTGGAACTCCAAATCTGAAATCGAAACCACCTAATGTGATTCCATTCCTTCATTTACAACTATTTATAACTAATTCTTGACCCAGCGTAAGCAATTTCATGCAAAACGAAGTTCAAATTTTGTAAAAATAATTGTGAAAAAAACATTTTACTTGCAATATTTTTGCAGATTTAAAAAAATATATATATATTAAATCAGTAGGTCAAAACTATAAGTTGATATGATAATAAACAATTCAATTTTACAATAAAAAAGTGCATCTGCAAATACTTATACCAGCTATCTGCTTCATTAGGTCGGTTCGTTGCTTTTTCTTCACAGTTCCATCCAAATCACTGCTACTTTCATTCTGAAGTGAAGAAGATTCACTCTGCAAAAATTATGAAGCGAACAAGTGATACTCGTAGGTTTTTTCAAGAGTTACATGAAACTTAAAGAATGAGATCTGAAGATACCTCTTTCCATTCTCGTTTCCTATCAGAACTTAGTAATTCTTGATGAGCTTCCTCCAACGGATTCATCTTCATATGAAAAATTTTAAATGACGGCTCTCCGCTCTGAAACAAACGTTTTTAAGAAAAGCATTAGATATAAAATTTAGCATAGATTTACTATTTCAGTCAAAAAAACCTCAGAAAAAGCATGAATTGAAAAAGTTAAATATTAAAGAGCACTATGAAACAATTAATAAGTAATATAGAATCAGAAAAAAAATAATTTTGAAGAATACACTTTAATATATAAAAATGTATATCAAGTGGCAAAACATGCATATTCAGAAAGTTTCTGTCGAAGTTCCTGGATTTCTGCCTTACATCTTTTCAGTTCATCAAAATTTTGATTCATTTCCACTTCCTTGGAGTTGGCAATTGTTTGTTCTTCTTTCATAGTTTCTATGGTTGCCAATCTATAGCAATGGACATAGAATTTGAATAATTAAGCTTTCAAAAGATTCGTGAAAAAACTATTAATTAAAAATGAAGCAGTAATTTCCTAACAAAGTTTGATTAATTTGCAACTGTTCTTCTAACTGCTTTGATTTGATATCCAGTTTAGATCGTATTTCACTTATCCTGGAAAGATCAACTTTTTTTACGCACAAAAAAAATTTAACGCATTCCTCATGTGAAAATTTTATTCAAATAGCTATGAATTTTATTTTTATTCAAAGAAAACCAACTTCATTTGATCTCCCGAAATTTGATCGCATGTTTTCTGCGTTTCTGAGATTATACCACTATTTTCTGCACTCGATTTTAATCCACCCGTTATTTTCAGTTCTTCATTTTCCCTCTGAATTCATAAAATCTCGTAATTTTTCATGAATTCATTGTTAACGAATGAAAAATTTTTAGATTTTCATTGGCTATATTTTCACAAAACGAATATAACAACTGTCTTAAAAGTTGAGAAATAAAGCACTGTTCTTTTAATTTCAGCAATTAATTAAAACTATTAAGTTATGATATTTTTGTTCAGAAAACTATTTCTAACACTTACTGGAAAATATATTTGAAAACTGTTACTTGAACACGATCCAAATATTTTAGTAAGACATTTGATTTCCTCAAACAAAACTTATTTAAGTCATATAAATAAATGCGTAACATACCACAAGGCAGTCATTCATTTCGCTCAATATAAGTAATCGAGTTTCCAAACTTTTTTTCTGTGCTTCTTGCAATTTGAACTCTTCTAATTTGTTGCTGTTAACGAAAAATTTACAAACAGATTTTTTTTAAACTATTTCCAAGCAAAAATAATTAAATTAATTAATTTTACTGAATGATGTTTGTTCATGAGACATTTTATCTCTAACAATTACTAGCTATTATGTAACAGTTCCGTACAAGATGAAAAACAGACAAATTTTGTCTGAATAATATTGAGGAAAGATGTAAAAACAAAATAAATCGAATGTAAACCTTGCCAACTTTAATTTCGTTGTAAGGAGATATTTTTCCATTTCTAGTTTTTTAATTTCTTCTGACAACCTCCATGCTTCTTCTCTGTTATCATTAATTACAGGTTTTGGTATCTGTAGCTCATCTGCTTGAACAGAGACTGCAACTGAAAGTTGAGGAAAATTTTATGAAATATTAAGTTCCCACAAGAAATTAAAATGAAAAATTTAACAAAAACAAAAATTGTGAAAAAATAAAAATAAGTTGCTGAACTTCAATCATAAATAAAACTGAAAACTCAGCAGCCTTTGCTGTACACAACGGACCAGTGCTTTGTGCCCTTCGAATGAACCTTTTCATCCAATCATCTGTTTGTGTTTCTGCATTCGCGGTCTCTGCTTTCCATTCATCAAAAAACATAAATGAAGGCTCGTAAATTTTTGAAGTTTCTAAAACGCAATCAGATAGAAATCAGAAGCCAAAAATCTGCATGCAACAAACTACCATTGCATGATTAAAGAAAATTTTTACAAGTCATAAATGAAAAGGTTACCTGAAGCAGACTGTAGAAGTGATATAACTTTGTCAAATTTATCTTTTTTATCCTGAAAAATTACGCATAAAAATATGATCTGCTTTTCACTATTCTTCCACCACATGCATTTAATATCACACTGAACAGTACCAAACTTAGTCAGGAATCAATTCCATCAGATATTTATAGTAGTGAAAACTTGTAAATGTCAGTGTAAACAAATTAGAGCCAAAAAACTCACTTCAAACTTTTTTTTCGACAACATATCTTGAAGATTGCTAATCTGCTCTTTAAACGCTTTTTGCATCTCATTCATTTCGCTCTGTTTGTCATCCATTTCTTTACTCATCTGCGCAATGGTGAATTTCAAATTATCACTTTGCAATTCATATTTTTTAACCTTTTCTTCAGCAATACGAACTCGAATGGACAACTGCCGGACTGAATAATAAAACATGGATAAATTATATCATGCTGAGAATACCTAGTTAAAATTGCAAAGTGATAACTTGCCTAGTTTGTACTATGCCACTTACCATTAAAGTATGTTTTCTTATTCATAAAATGACGTAACTTTTAATAAAAACTAAAAGTGCTACTCTCAGTAGAAACATATAAGCATTACCAATATTAAACTAAATATACTGCCACAAAAATTAACACATTGTTACTTTTGGATTCCTTCAGTACCTGATTCCGAGTTTCCTCGTCTGTAACGTCCACTGAGCAAATCTTTGTGATTAGTTGTAATATAGCCTGATACACTGCTTTCTCCATCTGAAAGTATTTTAATGCAAAAATAAAAAAACGCTGACGTGTTATATATAATACCAAGGGCAGTAATTACAGTGATAATAAATAATAATGAAAGTAATGATAATGACAATTAACAAACGATGATAATGATAACACTATTATCATTGCTATTGCTGTTATTATCATTACTATAATTATTGAACACGGGTGATCACTATGACCAGGATAGATATTGGTCTCAAAAATTGTAATATTCGATCAAAATAATTACACTGAAAACAGCAAGAGAAGTAAATATCTTCCCGACTACCATCACAATTGTCTGACTACCATAATAATCATAACAATGATAGTAATAATTAGCAAAATAACAAGTAATACCTTCATCAGACATCCTTCAAAGTGACTATTTTGCGTGGTTTTTTGAAGTGAAACAACAGATAACGTAATATGAAAATATCAAATAATTCGCGTTGTCTTTGCAATTAGAAGAGTTAGGAATGACCCTGTGACCTCTCAAAAAGCTATGGGAGTAAAATTCAAATCATTCACCGATCTTTTTTATTTCACCGCACACATCACAAGGACTGTTGTAAAGAAAGACATTTAAAACAAGTGTCAACAATGAAAATTTCGTTCCCAGCTTTTTTACTAGTCGTTGCAGAACGTGTCTATATTTTATGCTTTAATTTGTCAAGTAAATATCTTTACTGCATAAGTTTTGTGAAAAATTTTATCTAGTCACTAAAGTGATTGATTTAGGCACAATTGATTTTATTAATCATCGAAAGTTAATCTCAATAAGTTATTACTTATGAAAAAGGAATGTGTGGAAGAGTGGATAATTCTGCTTGGCACTAACTTCCAACATCTTATTTAAAGCTTTTATCTCAAATAATTTAAATATATAATGCGCTTAATTTTTTTGTAGGCTAATTTGTTGCCTATTGTTAGGCACGTTAACATCGCTCTCAGAGCAATTTTTTAATACATTCATATTCATGCAGTTTGCTTAGATTTTCTACACTCTCAAAAATTTTTGCTACCTGAAAAACCTTCTGAATTGTGATATTACCGAAGAGAAATATTATAAAATACAAAAGTTTAATTGCGTGTTGCAAATTTTATTCGATTTAAAAGACTTTTGCGAATTGACAATGTTCAAAATATACAAATTTATGAAGTGG